CCTTGTGTACAGCTAGCCTGTATCCTGGTACAGCTGCATCCTCACCTGGGGCAGGAAGTATCCTATTGCTGAAACGAGACCAGGAATGCTCCAGCCAGACCACGTGTGTGTGTGCGCTGACTGGCTCTTACACTGGTGTACCTAACCCCAGGACCTTAGGAAAGCCATAGAAAGGTTCCTTCCTTGGACAGCAGCTGTGGGCTTTTGAGACGTGCTGCCCTGGGCGTACTCCACTAGAGGTACCCCTGTGCCACAGGCCCGCAAGAGTGCCCCTCTGGTCCATGCCTGCACCCCAACTACCCTATGCCCCGTTTCAAGGCCACAGGAGGTGGAGTGGACCAGTGCCTTCACCGCCAGGGCTCCCAGAGCAGACAGCGGGCTCCACAGCGGAGGGGAAGGGGGGCAGGATGTGGAACAGACACAAGGCCAACACACTGCAAAGAATCCCTGCCACTGCAGAAAACTGCCTTGTCTTCCTCCAGTGCTAGTCCCGATGCATGCTACATTCCAGGGGCCTCCCAAGCAGGCTTCTGGTTCTGGCAGGAGCGCCGAGCCCTGCCCGCCACCCACTGGAGAATCACCTGCCCAGTCTGCAGTACCCAGGAAGGGTATGGATATTGCCCCATGTGGTGGCTCAGCTCCAGAAATGCTCCTCAGGTGGCCCACAAAGGACACCTTGAGCCCTTGTCAAGGGTAAGCGTGCTTGGGGGATTTTGTGTGGCAGCCTCAAAACATGTCAGATACAGCTCAGACCACAGCACCTGCCATTCCCCCAGCCAACGAGACAGACCGGCTCAGGGAGGGCCACCTGGTTTTGTGTCTGGAGGGAAAAGGCTAAAGGTCTCCAAACTCATGACTTGTGTAAGTTGGCCTCACCCGTTAGCATGACATTTCAGATACCACACAGCATTACATGACTCACCACCGCAGAACAGCCCCTCACAGCAAGGGCCTACATGGCAGCACGCTCTGCCTCAGTTTCCCCACAACAATCTTCAGCCTACTCCAGCCATAGGGATGACACGCTGCAGTGATGTGACCCTCCAGCTAACTCATTAACAGACATCCACCCTGTCCTGGGAATCAACATCCAAAACACCCCCCCACCCCATGCACCTTTACCCCAGTTCCCAACTGGGCCCAGTCCTTCCTTTCCAAGGGATCTGTTCTCTTTCTTCTAACTCATATACACTTCTGCTCACCTACTGTGCTCAGTTTCCAGGCCAGCCATGCTTCCCATCCGCCCCCACAGCCCCTCCTGGGGTCCTCCCCAAGCAGCCACACCCAGACACCTTCCCCACTACATCCAGTACCTGCCTTGTGTTCCACTCTGCTCTGCTGGGCTTCCTTCCTTTTAAGTCTCACACCCAGCAGGCTGCAGCTAACTGAACAGGGCTGACTAGCCCAAGGCCTCCTGGGCCTTAAAGGGGCAGGCCCTCGTGTGACACATGGGTAATGGATGGCGTGAGTTAGATGGCATTCAGACACAATTCTGGGTATGAGCTTAGGGTGCAGCCTGAGCGAGTTCTTGTCTGGGAACAAAACTGTATAAGGAGGGTCAGTTGTAAGAGCCCCTAGTTCCCCCACTGTTCCTGCTGATGTTATCGCTGCAGGACAGGGGGCTTTCCTGGGTAAGTGCATGGTTCAAAGAGTGATCTCATCAGACCTGGTCACACTGCACTGAGGTCCCAGACTGGGGCAGGTTCTACTCCAGGTAGAAATGCTCTTAGAAATGCTCCTCTAAATGGGAAGTTGGTATGGTGGGAAAATACCAACAAAATGTCTACATGGGGCTGGGGGGCACTGATCGCTGCCCAGGGCACCCTGAGAGAGCAGCGTCAGAGACCCGAGTTCTTCAGCAGTCATACAGAGTCCAGCCTGTCAGCTATCTGAGACTGCCCCAGTGCAAGCTTGAGCTGATCCCGCCAAGCCACAGATCCTTTCCACTCGGAGCTGCCCACTTTCCTCGTGGAATCAGCCTGTGAAACTCATTGGCAGGGGATGTTGTGAAGGCCAAAAGGATAAAAAAAGAAATAGGCAAGTTCATGGAGGATAGGTCCATCAGTGGCTATTAGCCAAGAAGGTCAGGGACACAGCCCCATCACCTGGGCATCTCTAACCTTCTGTTTGCCAGAAGCTGGGACTAGGTGACTGGGGATGGATCACTTAATAATTGCCCTGTTCTTTTCATTCCCATTGACACATCTGGCTCTGGCTCCTATCAGAGACAGGAAACAGGGCTAGATGGACCATTGGTCTGACCCAATGTGGCCCATTCTTATGCAGTCCTTTCTACTGCTGAGCAAGAGAGTTTGTGTCCCTGTTTGTACACTGCCTATTGTTTCTAGCTCCAACACCCGGCCAAGAACCAAGTGGTCAGGTGGAGGGAGGACAGCTCAGGGGAATGAGCCCTTCTCTTGTTCTGTGATAGGAGCCCTGGCAGCAGAGGGAATGCGATAGGATGACAAGTGGACAAACCGAGAGGATCGAGGAACCACCATTGCCTCGGCCACGTGGGTGCCAATAGGAGAATTAGTGCACTGTCCTGTTTGCTGTGTCCTAGTACTCTGGGAAGCAACGGGGTGGGTGGATCGACATCTGTTGTGACCAAAGGGACGGGAAAGACAGGAGCTCTCTCCCCCTGCTCGTTTATAGTGTGGTCATATTGTCTGTGGTGACGGGAACGGACTGGAATGGCTAGTCTGGAGGTCATTGTGCCCTGCTCTGAGTTCCAGCAGAGCAACTCTTCAGCTCACGAAAGCTTATGCTCAAATAAATTGGTTAGTCTCTAAGATGCCACAAGTCCTCCTTTTCTTCTTGCCTTGCACTACCTGGTGGTCCAGGTGGGCTCCTCAACTGAGCACAGATGCCTTCAGCAATATAGTTCCTGTTGGAAGGGCTGGGACAAAGGGCACTCCTACCCACACTGCAGCCGGGTGCTTCCCCAGTTGGGAGAGGAAGGAGCCCTTGGTGGGAGTGCTCCCATCAGTCTGGGCTGCGGGCTATCCCCAGTTGAGCTAGCCTGCAGTGCAGATGCAGTTCGGCAGGCGGCGTCACAAAAGTGCAAGAGGCCGCGTGGCCCAGCAGGACCTTACCGTCATCTGTGGAGCGAAGAGGATGGATCGATTGGTCGTGAGCCAAGTCCACACTGGCAACCCTAGAATCCATCTGGCATGGCTTGGCAGGGGCTGAGGCCTTCAGCCAGCCTTCTGGCAGTAACCCCATCTTGTGCCAGGCCCTGCAGTAGCTCACAAGAGACTCCTCAGCCTGGCAATAGAAGTGTTCAGATACACCCCAGAGGGAAAGGATCTGACTCCAAATAGTTCCTTATCTGGAGAAGGAGGCTGGGGGCCTGGCCTAGCCCTCAGAGAGCTCAGCACCTAAGGAGGTGTCCCCCAGATGGGCCCCAGGGTTCCCAACAGGGCCACTGTAGGGCACTGTGTGGATTAGAAGGGCCCCATGGACGGGGTAATAGGGCACATGGGGAGCATGAGAGACCCTGTCCTGGGAGCACTGGGATACCCAAGAGTACCGCTCTGAACTCATGTCTGGGGCTGGGCTCTAGGACAGCGGAGTGATGACTCAGGGCCCTTCGGCTAGGAGTCAGCCAATGATTCATGACTTGTCTGTCTCCAAAGGGGGGGGCAGTGCTCAGGCAAGGGGGTCCTGGACCCACAGTCTGTGCCAACTACCTGCAGTCAGTGGGACCCATCTCTCCAGTCCTGGCTGCCTCCCCCATCCCCATGCTCCTCCTCACCCCCCCGCCCCCCCGGAGCCCTACTTCCCCCCAAAAGCCTTGCGTTCTGTTGTACTCCAGGTCAGTGCCCCACTCAGTGCAGGGAGCTGCCTCCTGTGATGTGCTAAGGCAGCAGCAGGGGGCATCAGTGTCCCGCCTCTGCCTGCCCCGCCAGATGGGCCTGATTTCCCTCCCACTGGGTTCTGCCCCCAGGTGCCAGGCCCCTCCCTGAGGCTGTGGCATTGTGCAGGCCGCCACAGACCGGGGAGCTGGGCGCAGAGCCTCAATGTCCAGCCACAGGCAGAGCCAGTCGCAGCGCCTTGGGGGAAAACCACAGTGAAACCCGCCAGGGCACCCCCTTCACAGCGGGTGTTGGCCGAGCTCATCGCCCCACCAGGGCTCCTGGCATCCTTCCTTCCCGCATCCCCAGCTGCCTGGGTGCCCTCCTCCATCCCCCCCCTCGTTCAGGGGCTCCCTGCCCTTCCCCCAAGCTCCTCCTTGCCAGGGGCTGTCTGCTGCCCCTTCCCCCATACCAGGGGCCCCCATTCTTCCCCACCCCCGCGTGGGCTCTGTCAGCTCCTCCTTCCTCCATACCAGGGCCCCCCATTCTTTCCCGCCCCCGCATGGGCTCTGTCAGCTCCCCCTTCCCCCATACCAGGGGCCCCCATTCTTCCCCCCCCAGCATGGGCTCTGACAGCACCCCCTTTCCCCATACCAGGGGCCCCCATTCTCCCGCTCCTGCCAAGGGGGCTGTCTGTCCCCCTTCCCCCGTACCAGGGGCCCCCATTCTTCCCCTCCCCGCCAAGGGGTCTGTCAGCTCCCCCTTCCCCTCACACCAGAGCCCTACTATTTCCACCCATGCCAGGGGCACTGTCTGTCTCACTCCCACCATTTTCATTTCTTCTCTTTCTGTCCAGGAGCTCAGTCACATAGGGTTTCAATGTCTCAAACTCCACCTGGAGGCTGGGCAGAGCAGAAATGACAGCGGTGTTGTGCCGGAAGGTGTTAATTGTTGTCATCAGCAGTGGGGCTTGAAGCTATGGCTCTGCTACCGGATGCTGGGGTTCCAGGGGCCTCCCATTTCCCCCTTTTGGTTTCTCTGATTTTCACCAACATCCAACGGCTCTTGCCCATTGCTGCCTAGAACGTTCCTGGAAATGTTGGAATTGATTGTACGCAGTGTTCAAAAGTTATCTTGTTACAAATAGAGACAGCCAAACAGATGGCACATCGTTCAGCCAATAAAGCAGACCCTACAATAATATCCACAGGAGAGTTTCGTGTTCCAGAGTGTTGTATTTATCAAAAACATATATTGAAGCTTCAGAAATTAAAAAAAAAACCACAGACTTGAGTTAAAAACAAAGAATGCCACTCTTCGAACAAAGTAAATCTTTTTTACAAATAGCAAATAAAGTAGGCCCTACAATAATATTGATACAAGAGCATTTTGTTACAGAACTCCTTTTTCTTTTAATATATGAACAAATTGTAAATTTGAGGCCTCAGACAAACCAGGCCGTGTCGCTTTTGGGAGAATAAAAAATAAAAATGAATTTCCCCCCTAAAAAATATTTAATAAAGTAGGCCCTATAAAAATAACATCAGCAGAAGAGGTTTTTGGGCCAGCAAATCCCCCTGGTGTATGTACATTGATCCTCTGTGTCACGAGAGAAAGAGTCTCTCTCTCTCCCTCTCTTTCGGCATTTAACTGACTCTTATTCAAGCCAGGAGTGATTGTCACAAGCTAAGATACTCCCTGCCCCACCCCCAAAGTGAGGAAAAGGCTCCCCCAGCACCCCTCCCCCCGGAACAGGGAGGGGCTACCGGGGACAGACATTCCTTCCACACTGCTGCAGGTCTTATTCGCCTTGTTTTACAGAAGGGGGAAGCTGAGGCACCAAGAGGGAAGTGGTCATAAAGCCAGTCACAGCAGAGCTTGGACTAGAATCCAGGAGATCTCACTCCCAGGCCCACTGCTCTAACCTATAGGTCCCACTCCCCTCCTAGATCTGGGACAGAACCAGGCATCCCAGGTCAGAGGGGTTCATCCAGGTCGACAGCCCCTTCGCGGAGCAGCCTGTGTGGGGGTCCTGGCCAGGGTCCCATCTCCCCGGGGTGGCGGTGCTGGGCTGGGTGCTCCTGGGGCTGGCGCTGTCCTTCAGGGTGCAGGGGGAGACTGTTGTCTGTGGGGTGCCCCCGTAGCTGCTCTGCCGTCCCCTGGGCTCCCAGAGCAGGCGTGGTGGAGTGGCACCCACTGCAGGGGGCCTGGGTCTTCTCAGGCTGTGGGTCCTGGAAGGCAGAGCAAGTCAGGGACTAAGTGGGCATGGGTGTGGGGGGTGGGACTAAGAGCAGCAGGGACTAATGGGGATGGGGGGCAGGGACTGAGTGGGCACTGAGGCGGATGGAGGGGCAAAGATGGGGTGATGGGGGGATAGGGATTGAGCAGGCACCAGGGGTGATGGGGGGACTGTGCAAGCAGCGGGGAGAGATAAGGAAGGGGGTAGGGATGGAGCGGGGCGTGGGTGGAGTAGGGGCAGGGACCGGGTAGGTAGCAGGGAGTCCCCGTCAATGACTCCCCCAGAGCACTTCCCCACATACCTGGCATGGGCTGCCAGGGGGCCGCCCTGGGGGGCACGGGCGCTGCCAGCTCAGGGTTCTCTGTACATCGGGGTGCAGCTCCCTTGGCTCCTCTTCATGGAAATGCTCCAGCAGGGCCAGGCTGGCCTGGAGAGTGGTCAGGTAATAGCCACCTGGGGGAGGATGGGGTGTAGATTGTCAGGCCAGAAGGGACCCTGGGAATTCTCTAGGCTGCCCTCCTCTCTGCACAGGGCTGCCCTGAATTGATTCCTGGAGGAACTAGCACAGATCTCAGAAAAACATCCCCCCTGCTTTAGACACTGCCAGTGACGGAGAATCCAGCCCTCTGTGCCCCTGGTTAATTCCCCTCACTTACAAACGTGCACCTTATTGCTAGTCTGAATTTGTCCAGCTTCCACCTTCGGCTGCTAGACTGAAGAGTCGTGTGCTCTCCCGTTTCTGTTCCCCACGTAGGTACTTAGACTGGGATCACGCTTAACCTTTTCTCTGTTAAACTAAACAGATCGAGCTCCTGGGGTCTCTCCCTCTGAGGCTTGTTCTCTGAGCCTTTAGTCATTCTCGTGACTCTGCTCTGAGCTTTATCAGCATCCCTCTTGCTTTGTGGGCACCAGGACTGGCCGCAGGGCACCAGTGCCACACCCGGAGGTAACAGAACCTCCTTTCTCCTCGTCGAGATTCCCCTGTTACACACCCCGGGACCGCTTTAGCCCTTTTGGTCACAGCGTCGCACTGGGAGCTCAGCACTGGGAGCTCACGTTCAGATGATTAGGTGGGTCCCCCGCCCCCCCCCCCAGCATTTAGGGAAGTAAACGGACTCAGGGATTTTCCCCTCTAGGGGGCGCCATCTCTGATCTGGCCCCAGGGTGAGGGGACTGGCTGGCTTAGTGGGACAAGGAAAAGGGGTAGTGGAGGGCCTAGGCATCTTCCTTACCTTCGCCCAGGAGCTGGCTGGGCTCCATCAGCTCCATCATGTACTCAGCCTCCATGAGCAGCTGGGGCAGGTCGCACTGAGCCAGGATGAAACTCAGAACTGGCAAGAACTCGTCCGCCCCATAGCTCCCATCTGGGGGGAAGAGGGGACATGTGAGTGGGTGCTGGCAGGGATGTAGCAGGAACATAAGGGGGATGGGGGGGTCCTGGCAGTAGGGGAGGCAGGTGGCGTTGGGAGCATGAGCTGGGGGAGGGGGGCTCCCAGCGGGGAGTAGCATGGAGAGCACAGGCTGGGCAGGGATGGGGGAGGGATCCTGGAAGCTGAGGAGGCATGGGGTGCAGGTTGCACAGATGGGGGGACTGGGGAGGGAGGGGCAGGGGGAGACCAGGGTGGCTATGTTAGGTGTGGGAGGGCACAGGGGTCAGTTACGGGGGTGGGCAGGTATGGGGATGTGAGGAGGATCAGGAGGTTGTAGGGAATGAGCAGGTTGGAGGTGGGGGGGGGCGGGCTGGGTGGTATGGGGGTGGTGCTGGGGAATAGGGGGCCGTTATGGGGGTTGTCCGTACTTGGGGACAGATCTATGGCTGCAGAGACGCCCTCCTAGGCCTGGGTGCTGGGTGAGGAAGAACGGGGGGCAGGGGGGCCATGCAGGTTAGGGTGGTCGGGAAGGCTGTGCGGGGCCACCCCCCATGGCTCTGCAGACACCTTTGCAGCCCTGCAGGAGCAGCATCACGCAGGCGAGGGAGGGGAGGGGGGGAAGGGATGAAGGGATCCATACCCGGGGCTGCCCCCATGGCTCGGTAGACACCCTTGCAGGCCTGCAGCAGCAGTGTCACCTGGGTGCTGGGCGAATAGGCACGCAGAAGCTGCAGCAGTTTGCGCCGTGCCCGCTGGGTGTCAGGGGGGCTAGGCAGCGTCGCCCGTGCCGGGAAGGCACCAGGGCCCCGCTCCCGCACCAGCCGCAGGTTCTCCCGGAGCTGGCCCAGGGACCCATCTGCCATGCGTCGCCGGCACAGCCGTGATGCCAGCACTGGTTTGAGGGGCTTCAGCACACAACGATGGAGGGCCCGTTCCAGCACAGCATCTGTGGAGTAGGAGTGGGTTACATGGGCTAGCGACAGAGCCAGGAGTCCCGGCTCCCAGCCCCACTGCTCTAACCCACTAGGCCCCACTCCCTTCTCTGAGCTGGGAATAGAACCCAGGTGTCCTGGTCCCCACTAAACCGCATTCCCCTTCCTGAACTGGGAATAGAATCCAGGCATCCTGGCTCTCCCCTGCCCCAACCCCCACCCTTCTCTTAGAACCCAGCAGTCCTGGCTCCCAGCCACCCCTGCTCTAACCATTACACCCCACTCGCCTCCCAGAGCTGGGGACAGAACCCAGGAGTCCTAGCTCCCAGCCCCACAACTCTAACCCAGTAGACTCCATACCCGTCCCAGAGCTGGGAATAGAACCCGGGCACCCTGGATCCCTCCCCCAAGCCCCACTCACCCAGCCTGTGGTCAGGCAGCAGCGTGGGGCTTGGCAGCTCCAGGGCTGGGCTCTGCAGCAGCTGGGCCTTGGTGTGGGTCAGGAAGGTCCGGATGGGGCTCAGCAGCTCGTGGCTGGACTGCCACTCCCCCCCGCCACCCCTCACTAGGGTCAGGAAATCCTGGACGCTGGCTCCCAGCCTGGTGCTCCGGTCCCGCGCCAGCCCCTCCACGGCCCGTGACAGCTGTTTCTCAGGGGCCAGCACTGCCAAGACGGCATCGCTCATGCAGCGCAGGGGGGCACGGGGGCGGCGCTGGGCAGGAGGTGAGGGGGCCCGTGGACCCCCACCCCCCTCGCTCTCTGAGCCACTGGGGGACCCACTGTCCAGCTCCTGCAGGGATGGGAGGCTGCTCCTGGCTGGCTCGGGATTAAGAGGCTCCCCAGCCCGCTGGGGAACCCGATACCCTGACGTGCTGAGCGGTGAGTACTGGCCCGGTTCCTGGCGCAGGGTGGGGGACATCCCTGTCTGGCTGGCAGGGATGGGGGGCGGTGGCTTGGGGGGAGGTGAGAGAGGGCTGGAGGTCTCGGTGGACACCCGCACTTTAATGCTGCGCTTGAAGTCGTCCCGCCGTGAGCCCCCATCCCTGCCCTGGAACAGGGGGTTCAGGAAGCCCAGCGCCCCGTTGCCCAGGCCGCAGTCCAGCTCCCTTGGGCTCCGCGTGGGGATCGCACCCAGCTGGCCAGCTGCAGGGGCAGCATCCTCACAGAGTTGGGGCTCAGGCGACTCCAGGGGGTCCTTGGCATTGAGAGAAGAGCTCCAAAACTCTGGGGGATGGGGGAGGAAAAGAGGGGTCAGCACCGAGGAGAGGACATGGGGCCTTTCCCCTCTAGGGGGCGCCGGCTCTGATCCAGCCCAAGGTGGGGGGCCTGGCTGGCTTAGGGGGCCAGAAATGGGATATGAGCCTTTCCCCTCTAGGGGCCGCGGGCTCCAATCTAGCCCCAGGCCAGGGGGAGGGGAAGGGAAGGGAATTAGAGGAGAAATGGAGGGGAGGGATTTCCCGGCTACCTAGTGGGTGCAGGGAGGAGGTGCAGGGTGATGGGGGAAGGGGAGTGGGGATGGGGTGGAAATGGGGCACACAGAGAATGGGCAGGGAGGGACCAGGGGGGATTGAAGGGAGAGGAAGGATCAGGGAGAGGAGTGTAGGGGCCACTGAGATGTGGGGGAGGGGTGGGGGTCTGAGAGAGGGGTCCAGGGGGAAGGGCTGTTGGGGGGGGTGTCACTCACCGAGCCCCAGGTGGGAAATGGCCTCCAGTTCCTTGTGCGACACCGCCTGCTGGATGGGCTGCGGCAGGCGCAGGGTGACCGGGAGAACCTCCCTAGGGGGACAGTGCATCAGGCTCTGACGGCAGTCCCAGGGCTCCCTCCTCCCCCTCAGGCACTCCCCCAATTCCCTTCTGCCCCGCCCCCTCCCCCAGGGGCACTCCTCAATTCCCTTCTGCCCCGCCCCCTCCCCCAGGGCACTCCCCAATTCCCTTCTGCCCTTTGCCCTCTCCCCCAGGGCTGCCCCAACACCCTCTGTCCTATAACCCCTCTGCTGTCCCCCACTGCCCTGGACACTACAGGATCTCCATCCACTGGGAGCAAGGGAGAGCTGAAGCTGTGGTGGAGCTCAGATTTTGGGGTGCCCCCCCATCCTCCCACTCACCGGCTCTGGCAGTAGGAGGCCACCAGGTGCAGCATGTCTGGGAAGCTCTGGGTTGAGCCCTCCAGGGAGATGCCTGCAAAGAGAAGGACCCTCAGACCTGTGGCACTAGGAGGCGCTCTCCCTGGCAGTCAGTACTTGCCTACTGGCCCAGTGCAGCACTAGGGGGCACTGTGCTGCAGGGAGCTGGGGGGGCTCAGTAGGGCACCAGACGCAGGGCTGCGTGTAGGCGTGGCGCTCCCGGGGGGCACAGAGCAGCACAGACAGATGTGTCCCTACCGGCTGCTCTCTCCTGCAGGCAGTAGCTAGCGACGAAGGCCGGGGCCAAGTCATCTAGGAGGCGCAAGCAGAGCACCCGGCGTCGGTGTGTGTTCGATCGGCGCACCAGGAATGTCTGGGGCAAGAAGGGGGCACCTGTCAGCAGGGGCTACACCGGGGCTGGGGACATGGAACACTTCCCAATATCCACCCCCTTCCCTGCTCAGCCCCATGAACCCATCCAGTGTGGGCCGCCCCATCAGCCCCATGCACCCATCCAGTGTGGGATCCCCCACTCCCAATCAGCCCTGTGGACCCATCCAGTGTGGGATTCCCCCCCCCCATCAGCCCCATGGACCCATCCACTGTCGGATTCCCCTCCCCCAGTCAGCCCCATGGACCCATCCAGTGTGGGATTTCCTCCTCCCCACATCAGCCCCATGGACCCATCCAGTGTGGGATTTCCCCCCACCCATCAGCCCCATGGACCCATCCAGTGTGGGTCCCCCCCCATTAGAGCCATGGACCCATCCAGCCCAGTATTATTCCCCTCCCCAGATGAGCCCCAGGGGCCCACACTGCCTGAAAACCCCCATCAGACCAATGGACCCATCTGCCCCAGTATCCAGCCGGGCAGGGCAGAGGCCCCCTGAGCCCTCACCCCGGGGGGCTCACGCTGCAGGATGTGCAGGGCGGTGGCAGAATTGAGGCTCAGCTGCAGCCAGACAGACTGGGTGAGGAGCAGGCGATCCAGGAGGCTGACGCTGTTCAGAGACCCCCGGGCTGGCCTGGGCTGGGGGAAGACGTGTGGGTCTGGGACATCGTACACCGGATCACGCCCCAGGCTGAGAAGGGAGACAGCGCTGTGAGGAGGGCGGGGAGCCCCTAGCACTAAGGGCCAGAGCATGGAACCCAGGAGTCCGGGCGCCCAGCCCCACCTGCTTTAACCCACTACCCCCCACCCTCACCTGGGCTAGACCTCAGGAGTCCTGGCCCCCCACCTCCCAGGCCCCTCTGCCATACCCGACTGGCTGGTCCGGGGGCTCCATCTCGGCTGGGTGACCAGGCTGCAGAGACAGGCTCCCTCTGCCAGAAACAGGAGCTGCTGTTAACCCTTAGCGGACCCCCCCACCCCCTGGTACCCACTCTCCTGGGCCCCCCAGGGGCGGCTGAGTGTGGGGCAGCCCAGCCCAGCCCAGCCCAGCACGACGCCAGCCCTGAAACGCTACCGGGAAGCTGCAGGAGGAGCAGGAAGGGGCACGACTCAGACCCACGTGGCCCTTGCTGGGAATACGCTTCTCCCCCGGGCCGGGGGCCCTGGCGGGGCGCTGAGATGCGGCCACCTCTGGGGTGGGGCGCGGGGGCTGTTTGTCCCGGGAGCGCAGCCGGGGAGAGGGGGCTCCTGCCCAGAGCGGGCTGCGGCAGCGGCGACCCCGGCAGTGCCCCGGCTCCGCGGGAGGGGGAGCTGTTCGGGCCTGGGCCAGGAATGCGCGAGTCGGCTCTGACTCACCGTCACACCCAGCCCTGGCACAGGGCTGGGCCAGCCCCAGGCAGGGACGGGCGGGCTCCCCCCTCCCGCAGCGCAGTCACGTTTCCAAGGCAAAGCTCTCTGGGCTGGCACAGCCCATGCGGGGGCGCAGATCTAATCGGCAACCCAGCCCCGGGGCAGGGGGAACAGGAGGAGACACAGCCTCCCAGCGTGCCCATTTTGTACAGGGGTAAACTGAGGCACGGAGCAGGGTGTTGCCCAAGCGAGAGTCCAGGAGTAGTGGCTCTCAGCCCCTCTGCTCTAACCCCCTAGGCCCCAATCCCTGAGCTAAGAATAGAACCCAGGCGTCCTAGCTCCTAGCTCCCTGCTCTGACTCACTAGACCCCACTCTCTTCCCAGAGCTGGGGCTAGACCCCAAGAGTCCTGGCTCCCAGCTCCCACTCCTCTCCCTGCGCTGGGGTAGAACCCATGGACCCATGTCCATGCTCCTAGTGCCCAGCACCCTGCTCTAGCCACTAGACACTGTTCCCCTTCCAGATGGGAGAGAAAGGTCAATCTTAGGGCTGCAGGGCAGGTGTGTAATTGTGTGTGTATAATCACAAGGAAATGGTGCTTGGAGGCAGGGCAGTAGATGGAGGAGTTGGGGGGGATGCAGGGGAGAGAAAATTAGCAAGAGATGGAAAATCCATCAGAACCATCCCAGATCCCCTCCCCTGATCTCAGCTCCCTCCCAGCCCCCCCCCCCCCCCCAGGTCCTGAGCTTGAAATAGCTGCTGGGCTGCTCCCTCCCTGCCTGGAGTGAAGTTTTGATGTGAACGGAGCTTACATGGCGGCTCATCCTGGTGGAGTCCCCAGTGCCCACTTCCCACTCCCCTAGTGCCCCATGCAGCCCCACGCCCCGTCCCAATGCCCCCAACCGCAGGCCCTTACCTGGCAGTGCCCCCTTCGCTGTCTGCAGCATCGTTATTAATTCATTATTCCCTTCGCTCCCAGGTTGAACTCAGATGCGCTGGGCTCTGAGCATGTCTGGGTTGCCAGCCAAATTCAGCAGCTGCCTGGCCAACCCCAAACACCAGGGGTCCTGGGCACCATCCCTAGGGTCTTGCTTTATTTTGGGTTTTGTATCTGTCTCCAGCCCCCAGCCAAGAGCCCTGCCCAGATGCCCTATCCCCTCCCAATACAGGGAGGGAAACTGAGGTACAAACAGGAGAGGGGACTCTGCCACTGTCAGCCAGCCAGCTGGGAAGAGAACCTAGGGGTCCTGGCTTCCAGCCAGCCACCCCCCCTCCCCAACCAGTGGACCCCATAGTCCTTTCAAAATGGAGGATAGAACCCAGGAGTCCTGGATCCCAGTGCCCCTGTCCCGCTTGAACCCACAGCCCTCCTAAAACTGGATAGAACTCAGGAGTTCTGGCTCCCAGACCCCAATCAGCTGGGCATGCAGAGAAGGGAGCTGAGCCATGGGGAGGGTAGTGGGGTGTTGGAATCCAGATCAGATCTCTGGACCACTCATGGGGTGTCAGGCTAAAGAGACCCCCTGTGGGCAGGAGGGTTTGAAAGCCCAGCACGGGACAGAACCAAGGAGATCGGGGCAGGGTTCCCAGGTCTGTGCCAGATCCCACCCTGTGACCCAGTCCCACTCACCCTAAGGCCCTTGTAACCTCTCCAGGGCCTGTGAAGTTGAGGTGCAGCTCTGGCTGGGCTCATGCAGAAGGAATGGGAAGGGATCCCCCATTCATTACCCCCCTTGCTATGCTGAGGAGTGCAGGCAGCTGCGATTCTGGGGGAGGCCTGGCTGAGAATGGGCACGGCCCAGACACGAGACCCCCAGGCTGTTGGCCACATGAGCGGCTCCCAGCAATATGGTCTGGCCAGGGACTGTGGGGGGTCCTGTCTTTCCTGAGGGGAAGGAAGGCTGGAGAACGGGCAACAGTGCAGGCTAGGAGAGTTGGCTGGGGGGTCCCAAAGGTGCTGCCACTTGAGGGAAAGGAGCCAGGGTGGGTGTCCCAGAATCAAAGCAGGTTGGAGTCAGGGGGTGCCCTGATGCTGCAATGACCCCCCTAAGGGCCAGCTGTTCTGGAGGGGCTCAGAGACAAGAGACGGTGCACACAGCTGGGGCGGGGCTGGCTTGGAGCTGGGGATCCTCTGCGCCCCAGCAAGGGGACGCCCCACTCACCCTCCACCCCCAGCCCACCCTGGAGCCAGAACGGAGTTGGCATCCCCTAGAAGAGAAAAGGCCCATGCCCCACTCCCCATTCCCCAGCATATGCTGAAATGAATCAAAGGGCCAAGAGTTTGTATGTTTCACTTGGTTTTTAATGTGAACTTCCAGGGGGCTGGCCCAGGCCCAGGGCTTTTCCTGCTGAAGCCCCTGGAACCAGCACCCCTATTTCCCTGGGGGGCACAACAGCCCCAGGCACTGGGGTTTACGTGCAGCCCCCCAAGATTGCTACAGACATCAGAGTCCTAGTGACGGAAGCGAGCAGTGAAGCCTCGTGCTGGCCTGTCTGCAGGGATCTGAGGCGGGAGCGCTGGCCATGGGAACACGCTGCCGGGCAGGGCCCTAGAGTCCTCTCCATCGGAGTCCCAGTGCAAGGGGAGAGCAAGCCCAGCCACTCGCTGCGCCGGGGAGGGTCCATGGGCCGTTGGTTTCCAGGAGGAGGCCTGTGCCGAGCCGCAGGGCTGAGCCACGAGAGGGCCCGCTCAGGCCTTGCGCACCGAGTACTTGCCCTTCTGCAGCTGTGAGACGTAGATTTTGGTCTTGGTGCCATCCTCCCGGCGCAGCCAGACCTCCCCAGTGCTGACAGCTGTGATCACAGCCCTGCGGGGGAGAGCAGGGGTCACACCAGGTCCCCAAAGACAGTCAGTTGCGTTGCCTCCCCCGCCCTGGGACTGGATTAGAGCCAGTACCCTCTACAGGGGAAAGGCCCTGTATCCTATTCCCTGCCCCCTGAGCCAGCCAGTCCCCTGCCTTGGGGCTGGATCAGAGCTGGTGCCTCCTAGAGGGAAAAGGCTCCGTGGCCCATTCCCTCCAGCCAGCCAGTCCCTGGCCACTCACTGCGCGGGCGCTTCGTCCCCGACCTCCAGGATGACGCTCTGCCCTTTGCTGTAGATCTCGCCCTCGTAATGCAGCCGCCCATCCTCACAGCGGGCTGAGAATTGGGGCCCCGGCTTCTCCACCTTCACCAGCACTGGGGGGAGAGAGGAGGTCAATGCTGGGGGGGCAGGCACAGCCCTACATACCTGAGGATGGGCCCTGCTGGCAGCAGCAGGACCAGGTTAGCTCATGTCCTGGCTGAGGCACTGGGGGAGACCAGAGGTGGCAAGGGGGATCTGTGCAGGGTGGTGGAGGGCAACAAGATGGCTGGCGAGGAGCCATGAAGAGGCAGGAGGGACACGGCTGGGATTCAGGGGGGCCCAGGTCAGAGCCAGTGCCCCACTCCCTGAACACCTGAGCCAGCCAGTTCCCTGCCCTGGGGCCAGACTGGAGCTGGTGCCCCTAGAGAGAAGAGGCCCCATATCTTATCCCTTCCCCAGCTCTTACCATCTGATTTTCTTTTCTGGGGAGACACGGCTGCTTTAGCCTGTAGGGAGAGACAAGACGATTAAAGGGGCTTATGCAGGGAGCGTGCTCAATCCCCTGCAACTGCTCACAGAACTATGCAGACCCCACCCATGCTGGTCCCCCAGGAAGGATGGCAGCATTAGCCTGTGTGACAGATGGGGAAACTGAGGCACAGGGTAAGGGACTCACTCAGCATCAGTGAACAGAACCAGGGAGTCCTGACTCCCAGCGCCCATTCTCTGCCCACAGCTGGGGATAGAACCCAGGAGTCTTGGTTCCCAGCCCCACCCTCCCCATCACTCTAACCCACTAGACCCCTCCCCAGCTCTGCTCCCAGAGCTGGGGACAGACCCCAGGAATCCTGGCTCCCAGCTTCTGGCCCAGCTATGCAAATAGTGACTTTTAAAGGGCATATTAAGAATACATATGAAAACAATCCCATTTCCACATGTTTGATCCCAAATGGCAGAGCTAGGAAGGGGGATTATTATGGGACATGGTGTTTTGCAGCACAACTAAGGGTGTGTGTGAGGGGTGGTTATTAAGGGACCCAGGCAACCTGTGGGGCAGCCAGGGGACATGTGTGTGTGGGAGGGGCTTAAGGGATCCAAGCATTGTGTGGGGTGGCCAGGGGTGTGTGAGGGACTTGGGGTCCTGTGGTGTCGCTGAGGGATGTGTGGGATGGGGTTTAAGGGACTCAGGCATTGTGGGGGGTGGCCAGTGGTATGCAAGGAAGTGGGGGTTATTAAAGGACCCAGGCATCCTGTGGGTCAGCCTCACCTTTTTGATGGCTGTCCAGTCTTCCAGGATGTCAATGTCCCGCAGCATGTAGACGATGTAGGGGCGTGAGGGGCACGTTAAGGGCTTGTAGCCATACACAGACATGGTGATCATTTAGCCCTATTCCCTTTCACACCAACTCGGGGGGGAGGGGGCAGCACTAGGATGCAGGGGGTGGGGAGATAGTGGCAGCCAGCCAGGAGCCAACAGGATTCCCTGCCACAGGGCACCACAGAGCGGGGAGCCCCCAGGCCAGACATCCCAGCTCCCTCTTCTCCCAACATCAGCACTGGGACTGGAAGGGTCAGGGGCCAGGACTGATGGGAGGCCTGGCGGGATGGGTTTGTTCTGGGGGAGGAGATACCAGCATGGCCAGC